CTCCTGAGTCCCCACAAACAGATACTGTAGTCACCAGGGAGGCGAGAGGTACCAGGCAGTCTGGGGCTGAGAGGAAGAACTGAATAACCAGTCTGGGGGAATTTAGAAGTATTTTCAAAGGATGAACTTGCTGTTCTTGTCTCAGCCATGCACAGGGGATGTGACAGCCAGAGACAGGGTGAGGCTGAGGTCCAGGCTGGTTGGGGTGAGGCTGGGGAGGGGAGACTGTTCCATGCAGAGGGAGCAGTATGTGCAAAGCTGGGGGGGTGTCTTATTCATTTTTGTAGCTGTTTTTGGTCTAGAACTGTTAAAGCCCTCCATGCCCTACTCTTGGGAAAGAGGAATTCAGATAAAATCTCATCCCAGAGAATTATGCTGTCTCGAATCCATTTCAGTGACCCAGCTGGTGGCTCCATTACCAATGCTTCATTGGGCTGGCGACAGCAAATCCTCTCCAGCGAATGCTTGCTCAGCAAATCTCAGAGCCCACATCACCAGGGAAGACTCCTTCCTGCTTATGTGCTCTTTATTTTTTATTCAGAAAATCTGTGAAACAAAGAGAAAAATAAGGAGATCTGTTTTATGGTCAATCAATAACTCCATTAAAAGAAAAAAAAATCTTTGTTGGTGGTCCCGGGTTTTGAACTCGGGTCTTCAGATGTCTAGCCAGGTGTTCTCACTACTAAACCATGTCTTCAGCGCTGTTTGTGTTTTAGAGTCTCATGGTACACCAAGCATCATTGCCTCATAATCTTAGCCTGACCATTCCTATGTCAAGGAAGACATAAGAAAATATAATGCCAGTGGGTTGAAGGTACAGCTCAGGTGATAGAGCACCTGCCAGTGAGCATGCAGCGTCAGATAGGGCGTTCCAGTTCTGGTCTTGAATAGGAAAAAAAAAAATCTAGCCCTGTGTGTCCCAAGGAAGAATCTGCTGCTGGGCTATGGTGACTTTTCCCTCCAAAGATTTTTAGCTTCCTGGTTTATGCAGCATCTGGTGATATGGGCTGTCTCTCCAGATTCCTTGAATAACCATATAGAGTGCCAGGCAAGGGGCTTCAGAAATGAGAGTAATGTAGCTTGAAAAGTGAATCCCCTCCCCCTGCATCAGCATTCTAGTTAGTGCTGTATTAGGGACTAGGAAGTATCAGCACTGGAGCTAAAGTCTCCTCAGACCCTGCACAGCTGTCACTAAATCAATACCTCCTGCTCTGTGGATGAATTGGCACTCGTCACATAAATGCAAGGGGAAGGAAATCAGCAACTTTGGGAACCTTGTGGGCACCAAAACTTGCAGATCTGCGGTGGTTAACTCCTAGTGAAGGCCCCGGGGAGGAAGGGGAATGGAGTAGGGAACTCTATCCCCACACCCCAAGGTTAAGTGAGGAATGAGGATTATAGAGTATGTCCTTCTTCAGGCATAATAAACTCTCGTCAGCACATGGTGGGGTGGTGGTGGTGGTGGTGCTGGTGCTGGTGTTGGTGCTGGTGCTGGTGAGTTCAGGTGACAGGACTCTTGGCCTTGTAATGCATTTGTAGAATTCCTACTTGTGCAGACTCAGTGTGATCCTGTTCCAGCTGGCACAATGCCATGCCTTACCCAGGGGGGTGGCAACTCTTTGTCTGCCAGAGAACAGGATGAAGAAATCCCATCTGTCTGCTCACACATGCGCAGTGTGGCCAATAGGTATGTGCAGTTTTGTTCCCTGGTGTCTGGGCATGGGTTCCAGGAGATCCTTTGGGTAGCAGAATCCTCAAGGTGCTCAAGAGTCTCATTTAAATAGGCCAAGAATTTGCATATCCCCTATGAACATCCTCTGGGATACTCTAAATGAGATGTAAATGCTTGCAAATACTTGTTGAACTGTATTATTCAGGGAATAATGGCAAGAAAAATAATGTCTGTACATATTCAGGATAGGCACATTTTTTCCCCCCAACAAGTATTTTGGATTCACAGTTGGTTCTATCCATGGGAATAGAACTTGGGAATTAGGGCGGTCTGCATTGGGTCTAAGTGGAGGAAGAGCCTGGGTCAAGGACAGGGAGGCTCTGCACATGGAGTTCAATCCCTGGCACAATGAATGTGGTTTGTTTCTTCAGCAGGAGTTCACTAGCTGGAATTCTTTACACACCCTTCTTTGATTGATAGACAAGAAAATTTCCTGCCCCTCTCACCTTAATCCTTGGAGAGAATTGCTCCTTTTCTCTTTTGTAGAGGGAATTGAAGGGGGCATGTGATGCCAGCCCTCCCTGTCAGTCTTAGGCCAGAGTGGGGAGGGGAGGACACCAAGGCAGGCCTGATCATACAGGACTCAGAACCTGGAAAATCATCCTGGACTAAGGCAGTTCCTGATGGGAAAACAGCAACCAGGCTGGAGACTGAGAATCTCTGTCCAGCTCAGGGGGCAGGAGGAGGGATAGACGATGTAACCACGGCTGGCTGTGGTGCCAGCGCTAGGCCTTCTGGCTCATGCAGAATACTTGATGGACATGGAAGCTCTGCTCTTTGGACTGCTAGATTGTCCGGTCCACGGCACTGAGGTTAGCCTGCTGGCATAGGGCGTTGGGAAGGAAGCTTTCCTGAAGCAATGGAGAGGGCCTCATATGCAAGGTGCAGACCTGTTCATTAAGGCTGGCAGAAGACCCAGTGTGGAGGTGCAATCTCTTATGTCCTGTGTGATGATAGTCTGTGTAGATGATACAGCTGAAAAGTTCTTAGATCGCACCCATTGAGCATTCCTTAATAGTGAATCCCAGCCTGACTTTCCATCCATCTATGACAATAAACTCTATACATGAAACATTCTGGTAACCATGATGTGTATTGGTCCACGAGGGTTTTACATTTAAGAGTTTGGGGAATGCTGTTTTTTGTTTTCAGGCAGTAAAAGCTTACTGCCTGGTACAGGGTACAGGGCCTTGGCCAGCATGTGAGCCAGACAGGGCTGTGGCCAGTGCAGAATGACACTGATTAAAACCCTATTTCCTCCTTCCCTAATGTCTTCTGCAGTGATAAACATGTGTCTAAAGGGTAAATAGGACCTGCCCAAGTAAAATGGTAATTGTGATTAAAGTTTTCCTTCCTTCAGGAAAATAGACTCCTGGCTGGCTAGACAGATGTCAATATTTGAATATGGTAGGTGCCCCTCTCCCCCTGGGTTGGCTGAACCTCTCTCTTTGGCCTTGGCCCCATTTTCATAGCCATGTTATCAGGTTGATAATGACTTGTGACATTTATTTGTGTCTAAGGAAATACTATTGGGGCAAACAAGAGATTGGAAAATTACTTTTATGTCTGGAAAGTTTATTTGTGTATCTTTTTTTGTGTGTGGTATTGAAGTTTGAGCTCAGGGCCTTATGCTTGCTAGCTACAGCTAGCTAGCTATCTCTAACACTGGAGTTCTGCCCCCAAATATATGTGTGTGTGTGTGTGTGTGTGTGTGTGTGTGTGTGTGTGTGTGTGTGTGTGTGTGTGTGTGTGTGTGTGTGTGTGTGTGTGTGTGTGTGTGTGTGTGTGTGTATGGTTTTACATTTATGTATAGGTTGGCCTGGACTACAATCCTCTTTGTTCTTCTGTGCCCATGTAACAGGTATGAAAAGTACACACCACCATGCCATCTTTTATTGGTTGAAATGAGGTCTTGTGAGATATTTGCTTGAGTTTACCTCAGACTGTGATTTTCTGGATCTCATCTCTCAGGTAACTAGGAGTTCAGGTGTGAGCCACTGTGTCCAACTGTGCAGACATTCTAAAGGATCAACATCTATTCTCATCATGGTCCCTCCCTTCCCCTCTGCATTTAATCTGGGAGTCCTCTGGGGCCCCAGCTTGGCCCTGTGGGTCCTGTATTATGGGATCTGCCTCTGTTTCCTCTATGGTGTTCCTCCTTTCGCTCCAGTCAGCCTCAGGTTTGGCAATCACTGCAATTGTCTCCTTAAATACATCCTTGGGTGCCTCGCTTTTGCTTTCTCTCTGTCCACCCATCTCTCCCATCTGCAGCATTCTTCTGGTTGTTGCAAATGCCCATGTGGCTTTCCACCCCTCAGTGGTTCCTGTGGCATCTATGATAAGACCCAGGCTGCTCTGGGCATCCAACCTCCAACTCCTGTCTCCTCCTCCTCCAGGCTTTGCTCACACTTTGGTCTAGATTTCTATCTCTCTGTACTTTCTGGTTCCTGCCAGGCTGGGTTTAGCTCTTTGCTGCTGGAACCCTAGCTGGTCCACATAGAGCATCCCCTTCTCACTGATGGCCAATAGCAGTAGGCATTGCAATTCTTTTTTTTTTTTTGTCGGTCGTGGGGCCTGAACTCTGGGCCTGGGTGCTATCCCTCAGCTCTTCAGCTCAAGGTCAGCACTCTACCACTTGAGCCACAGTGCCACTTACAGTTTTCTAGTGGTTTATTGGAGATATAAGAGTCTCACGGACTTTCCCGCCGGGGCTGGCTTTGAACCATGATCCTAGATCTCAGCCTCCTAAGTAGCTAGGATTATAGGCATGAGCCACCGGTGCCCGGCAGGCATTGCAATTCTGTAGGAAGCAGACTCCCTTTGGAGCAGGCCCTCACCCTCTATGTACCACCGCTCCAGTGCCTAAGAGGGAAAGGCTCCATCAATGTCTGTGAAAACATGAATGAATGGATGAATAAAAAGGACTTCCTTATAATAAAAAATGACGTGCCTTGCCTTTGTCCTCCATGTCCTTTCCTTCCCACGCTTCATCTCATTGAGCGGCGTGGTACCAAAGAGCTATGTTGACAAATTCAGACTGTGGGAGTGGGAGCTGGGCCTTTTTGGTGAAATGTGGTGGAATTGAGGTGCGAATGGAGTGAGTGCTTATGAGTTCATTCCTTGACTTGCAGGCTGGAAGAGGTGTATGTGAACACATGAGTGCATGATGGGATGGGAACTAAGTGGCAGGTCTTTGACATGGCCTGACAGAAAGAGTGTTCTCTGTGCTGTAGTTTTCATCTTTTCTTTCTCTTTTGGTGAATTTTAGATTACTCCCAAATAATAAAAGAAAGAAGCTGAAAGAAGAAAAGCCGGAAGACCAGCTTGGCCTTTCCCCAGGGACTGGTCCCACACTAGGTAAGTTGTCCTTGTCCTCAGTCTCTGCTTCAGGTCTGGTGTTTTGGTAGACCTTGGGGTGCACTGAGAGTGAGTCAGGGCCAAGAGGGGCCCTGCCTTCTTCTGTCTCAGCACCCTCAGCAGGCTGTTTCACATGCAGCCAGGCTCAGAGGAAGGTACCAGAGTGGCACAAGTACCTGCCAGGGATGGAGCAGTTAGCAGGTTTGTTTAGGGAATGGGGAATGAGATGCCGGATATAATGTGCAATCAGGGCACTGGCTCTTTTTTGTTTTAGCACATTTCCTTGCCATTGGCAAAGTTCATAGAGAGCCAAATTGGTGAACTTGAAGTCTCAAGAACAGGTAGGTCATGTAAGGAGACGGTTGAGAGAGTTGGGGCAGCCAGAAGCCTTCATCCTGTACACAAGTCCTTGAACTTGGCTGTGGGATGCTCAGGTGTCAATCAAGGGGGTGGGTGGACCCTCATCCTTCCTTAGGTAGAGCTGGTGGTGTAGCTGTGTCACCTGGTCACCTCTCTGTTTCAGACTGAAGTGTTTTTTTCTTTATGTGTGCTAATAGTCCCCTGCCAGATTGCAAATTGCTACTAAGTTCTGCTAACTATGGAGGCCTATGGAGTCTTGGGTGACTTTGCAGGCTTGTTATCTTGCATTGGTTCTTTCTGGTTGACTTTAGGGTTCATTCTTAGAGGCAAACAACAAACCACTTCATTTGGGTGCCTGAGAGATCCTCCTTGCCATGCACTGCCCCCCCTCCTCCTACCCCCTCCCCCGCCTCAGCTTATGTTGGTTAGAAGGAGGTTTGGCTCTTTTCTGTGTTGTTGTTGTTGTTTTTAAACAATTCATGAGCCATGGAAGGGGAAGGAAAGATATATATTTTTAAAGCTTACAGTCCTAGAATATTTTGTTTTCTCTAGAGATTTTTAACTTCTTTGTGTCACAGACTTTCTTTCAGAGACTTAGCCAAAATACATATGTATATTTCTGTTTGGAGAACCCTGCCTGTGTCTTCCTGCTGTTACCAGAAGTAGTTTTGCAGAAGCCAGCCAGACTGCTGGTGTGTGTGTGGTGTGTGGTGTGTGGTGTGTGTGGTGTGTGTGTGTGTGTGTGTGTGTGTGTGTGTGTGTGTGTGTGTGTGTGTGTGTTTCTCAGTTCTCTTTTCCCAGTGCGCAGCTCATCCTCCCTCACCCCCAGGGGGATTCCAGCTTCATTTGCTCAGGTGGCCCCTGGGCTCTGGAACCTGAGTTCCCACGTGGCTATTGCATAAAGACCATTTGTTACCTGAGGCTTGAGGGCTGGTGCCTGTTTTTGAAGAGATCCCTGAAGTTGGAAAAAGGGTAAAAGGGGCATGTCTCTTCTCTCTGTGGTATAATAACCCTGGTTTCTTGTAAAGATTGTAGAAAAAATTCACATTTAGGGACTAGCTGACACTGGTTCAAATATAGAGTCCTCAACTGTGTCTAAGTTTTTTTTTTTCCCTAAGTTTATATTTAGTTTTATTCTCTGTGATACATGTCAAACCGTTCACAGAAATATATAAACAATAGCCTCGGGCTGGGAAGGTTGGCTCAGTGGTAGAGCGCTTGCCTTGCATGCATGAGGCCCTGGGTTCGATTCCTCAGCACCACATAAGCAGAAAAAAAAAAAAGCCGTAAGTGGCGCTGTGGCTCAAGTGGTAGAGTGCTAGCCTTGAGCTGAAGAGCTGAGGGACAGCGTCCAGGCCCAGAGTTCAGGCCTCACGACCAGACCCAAAAAAACCCAAAAAACAATATCCTCTCCTGTTCTTGAATGTCCTTGATTGGTATATCTGTACTGTGAACTTTGAACCAAATGGGAAGTCCACTTTCCTCTTCTGTGTACGTGGTCAGGGACAGGGGAGAAGTGTTCCTGGGGTCACCAGATTGGCTTGACCATGTGGACTAAAGCTGGATGGTGTACACAAAAGCATTCTCTCTTCTAAAAAGCGCTCTTTCCTGGGGGGGGGGGGGGGCGCGCATGGTCTTCTACACCTGAGGACAGAGACTAACTTGAGGGTGGGGTGGGGAGTGTCCCCCAGGGCTCAAGAAAAGAGATCCAATTTCTCATCAAGGAAACAGAACAGTGAGCCATGCATAGAGGCAAGTCTGCTCTATTTCTGAATGATTTGGGGGCCCTGGATGAGATCCAGCTCCAAGGAACAGAGGAAAATAGAAATAGGATCACCTGTAATATATGCTCTTACCTGTAGGCCCTGGGGTCTCCTGAGGGACCTGTGACCTTCACTTTCTTCTATCCCTGGGCCTCTGTTTACCTGGGAGTGAGGACAATACAAAGTGGGCTATAATAATGTCACCAGACAGAGGTGGGGTTTAGTGAAGCTCTCCTTTAAATATAGGAACTCTTCACGTAGGGTCCTTGACTTCTATCACAGAATAAGAATTACTGGACAAGTCACAATGGTAAGAAAACATGGCAGAGCTTTATTAAGTAAATAAACAATGAAACAGACAGACAAAAAAAGCAGACAAACAAGGGAAGGGGCAGAGTATGGGTGCTCTCATAGGGACACAAAGACACAGACACACACAGGTGCAGACACACACAAGGAGACACCCTGAGAGACACTCAGCTCCTTGGGCTGTTGGGTATTTATAGGGTAAAGGCAGCGGGTCTGGCTTTAAATTATGCAATACTAGGTGCTTTGCTTTAACTACACCTGGTGTTATTCTGAGTTTCCAGGTAAGAATGCATCTTGCCATAAAAACAGATCCTTCTCCTTGAAACAAGGAGAGCCCTGCCATCTGCATTTTGGGGCATCCTGTCAGGCACTTGTGAATCCTTGGTTGAGAAATGTATCCCTCAGGAAAGAATGCATTCAGTTGCCTCTCTTTGAAGCAAAGATAGCATTTCTACATACTGTATTTCTGAGTTGCTTACACCAGGCTTCAGTTTCCTTAAGTTATCCTGCTTGGTTTCCCCCCAGAATGACTTTTGTTCCCTAAATTTTAAGGGAAGTACATGAAGGAATATCTCCTGTATTTGCTGTTAGCTGACTGTAACTCGTTTTTCCTACTCTATCTGGCTTCAATAAAAGATGAGCTTATAGCTGGGTGTGGTGAGTCATGCCTGCCATCCTAACTATTCTGGAGGTAGGGACTAGGAGGATTGAAATTTGAGGTCACCCAGGGCAATAAGTTCATGACACCCCATCCCAACTGAGAAAAATACCCAGAACCTCACAATAAATGCTTGTTCTCCCAGCTCTGTGGGAAGTGTAAAGAGGAGTATCATAATTGAGGCAGCCCTGGGCAGAAATTCGAGACCTTTTTTGAGAAATAGGGGCAAGTGGTCGAATGCTCACCTTGCAGATGAGAGGCCCTGAATTCAAACCCCAGTGCTGCCAAGGAAAAGAGATGAGGTGCTTGGGCGTACACCTCTTTTGGTCCTGTTTGCCATGGGGGTAGAGAGGCATTGGCTGCCCACAGCTCTGCTAGGTGGCCCCCTTGCCAAGGGCACCCAGGCTTGCTGGAACACGGATGGTTTAGCTCACAGGTTGCACAAAGCTGACAGCTGTTGTGAACAAACACTGTGTGTGGCGGGCTGCCATCCCAGCTTGGTCATGGGGGCTCAGCGACAGCTGTGAAGTGCAGCTTGGTGGTGGCTCTGAGCTCCTGTTACCTTTTGCATTTTTCAAAAGCCAACATTTCGATGTCTGAAGCATTGGCACAGCTTGCTGTGGGGTTAGCCTGCTCACTGCACAGCCATCTTCTGGTACCAGTAGTGCTAAACATTGCCGAAAGAGAGCCTGGGTGACAGTGAAGGAAGACTTTGATCCTTGAGAGCATGAAGAAGAGGAGCCTGGAATCTGCTCTGAATTCTAAGACCTAGGAATGGCTTGTGGAGGGCTATCAGCTGTTGGAAGTGAGTCGTTTTCTGCCCAGACTGATTAATTTTTAAGTTCTAAGAGTGGATCTCCATAATGAGGGTGGCATGTGCCAGAAAGTTAATAAGTAACTATGGGGTTCCTTGTGCCTCATGCTGGCCATACTCTCAAAGACAACAAGTGGAAGTATTTGGTTTTAGGTATTCATAGCCGTGTGTGTGTGTGTGTGTGTGTGTGTGTGTGTGTGTGTGTGTGTGTGTGTGTGTGTGTGTGTGTGTGTGTGAAGTGTCAGGCCTAGACTGGGGCTGGAACTCAGGGTCTGGCTGCTGTCCCTTAACCTCCCTCTCTACCCCTTCCCAATGCTCATGTTCTCCCACTTCTGGCTTTTTGCTGGTTTATTGGAGATAAAAATCACATCGACTTTTCTGCTCTTTTTGGTTTTGAATGGTGATCCTCAGATCTGAGCCTCCTGAATAGCTGGGATTACAGGAGTGAGCCACTGGTGGTACCCATCTCATCAGTCTATTTCTCACAGATGTAGGCTAGCTAGATTCCTGATTACAAAGCTGGATACTGGATGAAACCATCACTCTGTCCCTGTTGCTTGAGCTCCAGATGTCATTCATGATATAAATGGCAGCAACAACATGGAAAAGTTTGAATTCCAACTTGACAATTCATATCTAAGAGACTCTGGAATAGCTGCAGTGTTTTAGCAGAGTATCAGAGCATGCAGGTTTCAAGCAACTTACCTCAGTGATCTGTTAGAAGAAATATAAGCACAAATATCTGTGACAAAGAGACGAAACCAATCTCAAGGCTTTTAAAGAGACAAAGAGTGAACCAATGCAATAGTGATACTCAAAAGATAATACATTGGAAATGAACTTTACAAATTGGGAGGGTAGTTGGTGGGAGGGAAAGTGGGAGAAAAAAATGAGGGAGGGGATAACAATGTTCAACAAGAAATATACTTATTACCTTACATATGTAACTGTAACCCTATTGTACATCACCTTGACAATACAATTAAATTTTAAAAAGTACACCTTTTAAAACATTACTAGGACTATGTGATGTCCAAAAAAAAATTTTTTTAAGAAGTCCTCCTTTTGTACTTTGAAAGTCTTTTTCTCCATTCAT